AGGGAGGGAGGCGAGGGAGAAAAACCCCCCGGACATTTTAACCTTGTTACCAATTCCTCCCGGACGGCTATTTGGAGACGCAAAAGCCGGACATGTCCGGGGAAATACGGACGGATGGTAACCCTACTTTAGGTCTGTGGGGGTGGCTTAGGGCTTCAGTCCTCTGGGGCAGCTTCTGTCAAGGCTCATGGCACCAGAGCTCAGCGCTTCAGTCCCGTGGGGTGCCTGGGCTCAGGGCTTCAGCCCCATGGGGCATGTGGGCTCAGGGCTTTCACCCTGCAGGGCACCAGAACTCCAAGCTTCAGGCCCAGGGCTCCAAGTGGCCCTGCTTTGCGGACCCACTGAAATGGCTTGCAGTCCCCCAGTGGCCTGTGGACCCCCAGCTGAGAACTGCTAAGCTATTTAGCACAAATTCAGATCCAAAGTAGAACAGAGACTAATGTAGTGAGTAGAGTCTGAAGATACCAACCTATTATAATCATTTTGGGCAATGAAAGTTTGTAATGCATTAGTTCTTTACTCACTTATCAACAGTTTAATTGATTTGCAATCATTTTAGGCCAAACAAAGAGAACACAGGAGAAGTGAGTGAGTCTGGAACATGCATAATCAAACACGGTCTTAATGCAGAAAAAATCTTCATGCAGGTTCATTACTTGAAGGTAAGAGTGCGAAACTGACCTAACTGAAGCTGATGTTACCAACACATTTATAAACACTTATTTTTGTGTATCCTTTAATTAATAGCATCATCTTTGTCTTTGGCACTGATTTCTTCCAGGGCTATTTCCTTCTGCAATCTCTAGCCAAGAGAATTGGAGAGGCTACATATTTTGAATTTTTAAGAAAGTTTGTGCAGAAATTTCATGGACAACTGATCCTTTCTCAGGTACTCTGCTGGTGCTTGTTTCTCAGTTTGTTGAAAAATAAGTGACTTTTATTTTTTGTTTGACTATTTAAATCACTGGTTTTGGAAATTTAAAATGTGGCTAGGGCATAGGACACTGAGTCAGGAAACTTGGATTCTGTTTTAAGCTCCAATATGAACTCCGTTTTTCCTAAAGCAAGTCACACTTCACTTCTGTGCCTCATTTTCCCTATCTGTAAAATTGAGATGATATTTACTGTCCTTTATAAAGCACTTGGAATCTTGCATAAAAAGTGTTCTACAAGTGATATGTATATATATATTATTATTATTTAACACTTCATGGCAACAAGGGGGTATAAATTGAGATCATCCTGCTCCAGAAGTACAGACCTCTGTCACTTGAACTAAATATAAATTCCCATGAGCTGTTAGCAGTAAAAACTAAATACTATGTATATACTGGAAGGATGCAATCCTACTCCCTTGAGGTCAGTGGCAAATATTCCATTGAAATCAATGGAAACAGAAATCTGTTCTTAGTATAATTGATATGAGATACTGTATCTGATCTTATAATAGTATATACTCTATTGTGCAGTCATCACTATGGTGTTGTCTGAGTGTCTTGAAGTTGCATTACTGTCAGACTGACTCATGTGCACCCGTTTATTCAGGTACGAGTACCTGTATCAGACTTTGATCAGATAAAGATAATTTCATGTAAATACATTGAAGGTGGCATGGAAACAGAACCTGCATTTATATTTGTTGCATTGGACTTTCAAGATTCTGGACTTGGATGTGTATTTGGAACATTGGAAGCACATTGCAGCAGTTATGTGCTGAGTTAAACTGGGTAATCAGCAAGTGTAGGAAAAATAGTGACTGCTAAAGGTGGCTTTAAGATCCGCTCTGAAAGGAGATGATTCTTTTTAAAGCCAGGCTGAAGAATTTCAGGGAAGAGACTTGCTGCCTAATTGCTAACTATTTCTGAGCAGAGTTACCTAGTCTCATACTGTACCTTGCTGCAACGAAAGAAGAAAGCTGGGAAAAGCTATTCCATGACTCTATCTGCTCCAGTAAAAGAACAAGCTAGTAGTACTTATACCCATTCTTTAGTCTTGTGTACACAAGGTGCAGCTCTACCACTTGAGGGAACATTGGGCACCCTAAGGTACAGAAGGTTCCCACTGCTTGCAGCTGTTTTGAATACCAGGTCAATTAGACTTCCTTGGAGAAGTTTTAATTGGCACAGAGTAAAAAATACCAATCACTGTCGAAGACTTGTCTACACTAAGGCTCCCAAGTTGTGAACACCAGTGTTTTAGTGTTAGCACCAGCTGGAAACTTTTTTGAAAATTATTGCAAGAAAACAAGAAGCCCTTAATTTGACTGCAGGAAAAGTTTTGGATTGGGGTAGAAAAAGTCAGCTTGTTGCAGTTAGATCTACTAGCCTGACAGGAAATCAATTAAGTTAGTGGATTGCATAAATATTGCAAAATGTTGGAAGGTCCCAACACATTAAGCTATTAGGTCATCCTAGCCAGATCATATTGCAGTGGTACTACTAATCTACTAGTAATCTTCCCTCTCACTCCAATGCTCTGCTGTAAAGTGTGAATTTGTAGTGTATCCAGCTGTTCTTTCACAAGCTGAAACATTTCATGCTTGTTCTCATCCCAGAAGCAAATGTTTGTAGTAGTTTGATAAAAATGTGTTGAGCCATTTTTGAGTTGAGAGTGAATATATGGCATTTTTCATCTAAGATTTCTCAAGACTCATTTTTTGAATATAATTAACTCAAAGAAGACTTTGTTTTAAAACTGCAACCTTGGCCGTGCGATTAGTCAAGATTGAGAAACATGTGCTTTCCTTTGTTTGAAGATATTTGATTTTGAAATAATAAAGTTATGGATGTTTTCTTAAAAATGCATCAATCATAGTGTATTTTCTTACACCAGAAAGACACACTAAAGTTTGATGCTTTGAACAGTCATAAGTGTCTATGGCCTTGGCTACACTTGCAAGTTACAGCGCTGTAAAGCCTCCCCCAGCGCTGTAACTCACTCCCCGTCCACACTGGCAGGGCACTTACACCGCTGTATCTCCCTGGGTACACCGCTGCAGGTACTCCACCTCCCCGAGAGGAATAACAGCAGCAGAGGAGTGGCTACGACTCACGGGTGTGAGTGTAAACGACTTGCAGCGCTGCACTAATCACCTTGTCAAGTGGCCAATCCTCTCCATTGTTGTGACCGGCTACAGGAATGCGGAAGTGCCGGTTTCAAAGCTCGTACCACAGAGAAAAGTAAACAGTTTGCAGCTTGCTTTGAGTGAGTAAATGAATGAGCAGGGGGCCGGGAGTTCGGAACTTGCAAAATAGAGAGCTGACATGCTCCAAAAAGCACTCTCTCTCCCCCCCACACTCCCTGACACAATCCACCCCACCCCCCCGTTTTGAAAAGCACGTTGCAGCCACATGAATGCTGGGATAGCTGCCCATAATGCACCGCTCCCAACACAGCTGCAAATGTTACAAGTGTGGCCACACTACTGCGCTGGCAGCTGTCAGTGTGGACAGACTGCAGCGCTTTTCCCTACTCAGCTGTACGAAGACAGGTTTACCTCACAGCGCTTTACAGCTGCAAGTGTAGCCAAGGCCTATGTTTGGGAATCAGAGGTGGCTGGAATGAGTCACAATGCCATTGCAACACTTCTGGTACTTTCTCAGCAGTTCATTGGAGACCAAATCCAAAGTTACTGGAAAGATTGAGTAGGAGTTTGATCTTACCCTTAGGTAGCAATCGGTGTACATTTCTAGTTAATCTAATTAATCAAGTTATGCTATGCTTGTAGACTATTTTGATTATCTACAGGTGCATTGCTTTTTAAAGATTTCTTTCTCTGCATATATGCTTGCTATAAACTCTGTCAACATTCACTTTATTTTTAATCATACACACAAAAACTATGTTAAAAAAACATTATTAAGATTGCAAAGTCAAGCACTCAAAAGTTAGGAAAAGCAAGAATTAAGGTTGCCTGTATCATTTCCTAACTATTGAGTGCTTGACTTTGCACCCTAATAATGTTGTTTTAACTTAATGCTTTTGTGTCTAATTTTCTACATTTTAAAAAACAAGCTGAAAAAACATAAATTCCATTGTATGGCATCATCTTGACATCTACATGAGTAATCAGCATGGTAGGAACCTTTGGACTCACCAGCCAGATCTCTGCTGCTTGAACTAATTCAGTAACTAATAGCAGTGATAGACTGCAATTCTCTATGTGGACTGGCACTAGAGGGGAATGAGACACACTTTGCTAGTGAGTTTCACAGATATTTGCAGACAGCAGAGGAATGGTGCATGAATCTTGGGTGCCATTCCAGGCTCTGGAAAGGAATGTGCTCTAGTGATTACAGACTCTTCTGTCGTCTACCTCCAACTTGTCCCTTTCCCTGTCCTGTCTCTTCTCCACCTCTGGCGCCTCATTCCAGTCCCATTCTCCTTACCTATCCAGTCCCCAGACTTCTCATCTCAGTCCCAGATTCCTTGAACACCAGTCCCAGTTATCCACCAGCACCCTGGCTCCTCAGCAGATCCGTCTTCTTTATATACTACCACCTTCACCCAGCTCCACTGGTACCCAGTCTCCTTGCCCAGCCAGTTCTAGCCTTCCTCTTGGCTCCTCATCCAATCTTAGTCTTCCCTCACTTACTGGCTCGCAGTCCCCCCTCCACCTGTTTCCCTCTCTGGCTCCTAGTACCAGTTTACCACACCCCCTAAGAAATGGGTGGTGCCTCTATCACTACCTACTCTAGAATATGGGATAGATGCTAATTTGTGGTTACCCTTCTTTATAGTAATGTAACGCCAATATTTAAAAAGAGCTCTAGAGGTGATCCTGGCAATTACAGACCAGTAAGTCTAATGTCAGTACTGGGCAAATCAGTTGAAACAATAGTAAAGAATAAAATTGTCAGACACGTAGAAGAACATAAATTGTTGGTCAAAAGTCAACATGGTTTCTGTAAAGGGAAATCATGTCTTACTAATCTATTAGAGTTCTTTGAAGGGGTCAACAAATATGTGGACAAGGGGGATCCAGTGGACATAGTGTACTTTAGATTTCCAGAAAGCCTTTGACAAGGTCCCTCACTGAAGGCTCTTACGTAAATTAAGTTGTCATGGGATAAGAGGGAAGGTCCCTTCATGGATTGAGAACTGGTTAAAAGACAGGGAACCAAGGGTAGGAATAAATGGTAAATTTTCAGAATGGACAGTGGTGTTCCCCAAGGGTCAGTCCTAGGACCAATCCTATTCAACTTATTCATAAATGATCTGGAGAAAGGGGTAAACAGTGAGGTGGCAAAGTTTGCAGATGATACTAAACTGCTCAAGATAGTTAAGACCAAAGCAGACTGTGAAGAACTTCAAAAAGATCTCACAAAAGTAAGTGATTGGGCAACAAAACGGCAAATGAAATTTAATGTGGATAAATGTAAAGTAATGCACGTTGGAAAAAATAATCCCAACTATACATACAATATGATGGGGGCTAATTTAGCTACAACTAATCAGGAAAGAGATCTTGGAGTCATTGTGGATAGTTCTCTGAAGACGTCCACGAAGTGTGCAGGGCAGTCAAAAAAGCGAACAGGATGTTAGGAATCATTAAAAAAGGGATAGAGAATAAGACGGAGAATATTTTATTGCCCTTATATAAATCCATGGTACGCCCACATCTTGAATACTGCATACAGATGTGGTCTCCTCATCTCAAAAAAGATATACTGGCATTAGAAAAAGTTCAGAGAAGGGCAACTAAAATGATTAGGGATTTGGAACGGGTCCCATATGAGGAGAGATTAAAGAGGCTAGGAATTTTCAGCTTGGAAAAGAGAAGACTAAGTGGGGATATGATAGAGGTAGATAAAATCATGAGTGGTGTGGAGAAAGTGAATAAGGAAAAGTTATTTACTTGTTCCCATAATATAAGAACTAAGGGCCACCAAATGAAATTAATGGGCAGCAGGTTTAAAACAAATAAAAGGAAGTTCTTCTTCACGCAGCGCACAATCAACCTGTGGAACTCCTTGCCTGAGGAGGTTGTGAAGGCTAGGACTATAACAGGGTTTAAAAGAGAACTAGATAAATTCATGGAGGTTAAGTCCATTAATGGCTATTAGCCAGGATGGGTAAGTAATGGTGTCCCTAGCCTCTGTTTGTCAGAGGGTGGAGATGGATGGCAGGAGAGAGATCACTTGATCATTACCTGTTAGGTTCACTCCCTCTGGGACACCTGGATTGGTCACTGTCAGCAGACAGGATACTGGGCTGGATGGACCTTTGGTCTGACCCAGTATGGCCATTCTTATGTTCCTAGTACTAAATACCTATCTTTAGAACCCTGAAATACATGCATTATAAACTTCAATTCTAAATCAAATATTTGTATAATACTTACAGAACAATAGGAGCATCCTAATTTCAAGGAAAATTGTAAAATGATAGCTATTGCTTTATTGTTAATAGATGTATATGCATTGTCTTTCTTCTTAATTTCCTCTCATTATCTTCTTGGAAAACAAAGAAGAGCCTGAATCAAAAAGTAGAGATTTTGTCTCACAGTAACTGAGACTATAATACAATACTAGTAGGACAAGAGATATCAGCTAATAATAGGTTATAAAACACTGATGAGATAGCAGATCAAGGGATCTGGCTAGATTAACATTTGAAGTTTCTATATAAATGGCATTGAGTATGAATACTTTCAGTCAGATTTGTATCATCCCTGTCACAGCTGTAATGATGCCAACAAATGGTAAAATCTTTTGGACAACAGTACTGACCTGGCCTGAATCTGACCTGATTTAAAGTGGAAAGGTGTATTCCATTACTGACACTTTGAACTAGGTACTCCCTCTCCTTTAACAATGTGATCAGTATTCAGCTGTTAGCCAGATGAGTTCAGGGAAAGCTCCTGGAAAAGATGGGATACCAGCAGAGATATATAAAGCAGCAGGTCCAGCAGCACTATCAGCGTTCCACAGCGTGATCATCAACATCTGGGAGGATGAAAACATACCACAGGACCTTCGCGATGCTACTATTGTCTCTCTTTTCAAAAACAAAGGCAGCAAAGCAGAATGTGGAAACTATAGAGGCATATCCCTCCTCTCTGTTGGAGGGAAGATCATCGCCCGCATCATCTTGAACTGCCTAATAGCCAGTATTTCTGAGGCAAATCTACCTGAAAGTCAATGTGGTTTTCGACCTGGCCGGAGCACAGTCGACATGGTGTTTGCTGTCAGACAAATACAAGAGAAGTGCATTGAACAGAACATGCACCTGTATGCTGTCTTCATAGATCTGACAAAGGCGTTTGATACCGTCAACAGGGGAGCCCTTTGGACCATTCTAACACGACTTGGCTGCCCAAGAAAATTTGTCCAGATTATACGCCTTTTTCACGACAGCATGACAGGCGAAGTATTGTCTGATGGAGCCACATCAGCCCCCTTTAACATCACCAACGGCGTGAAACAAGGATGTGTTCTCGCTTCTGTCCTATTTAACCTGTTCTTTGCATGTGTCCTTAACCATGCAGTGAAAGATCTGGACCGAGGTATATACTTGAAATACCGGCACGATGGTTCACTTTTTGACCTCCGTCGCCTGAATGCAAAGACTAAGACAGTGCAGAAACTCCTTCTTGAGGCACTCTTTGCTGACGATTGTGCCCTCATGGCTGACACTGAAGATGATCTTCAGCACATTGTCAACAAGTTTGCTGAGGCCTCGCAACTTTTCGGACTAACTATCAGCCTCGGAAAGACAGAAGTTCTCCATCAACCTGCACCTGGATCAAATGCTTCTGTCCCGAGTATCTCCATCGACGGCACTCAGCTGAAAGTAGTGGAGAACTTTAAATATCTCGGTAGTGTCATATCCAATGATGGATCACTGGATAATGAGATCAATGCACGAATATCCAAAGCAAGCCAGGCACTTGGCTGTCTGCGTGTCAAAGTTTTAAATCACCATAACATCCGGATGTCAACAAAACTGCTTGTGTACAGAGCTGTTGTTCTTTCATCTCTTTTGTACGGGTGCGAAACATGGACACTATATAGGCGTCACATCAAGCAGTTCGAAGCATTTCACATGCGCTGCCTCCGTAACATCATGAAGATCCGCTGGTAAGACAAAGTGCCCAATCTCGAAGTCCTTGAGAGAGCCCAGATGACAAGCATCGAAATGATGATCATGAAGTCACAGCTACGTTGGACCGGTCATGTCAGCCGCATGGATGCCAACAGAATCCCCCATCAGCTTCTGTATGGTGAGCTCTCCCAGGGCATCCGGCATATAGGTCGTCCACGGAAACGTTACAAGGACACCATCAAAGCCAATCTGCAGTACAGCAGTATCAAACCTAGGGACCTTGAGGACGCCGCCAGCGACAGAACACAGTGGCGTGCAACAGTCAGAAATACCTGCATTGCCTTTGAGGAAGACCGCTGCCGGCGTCTACAAGAGGCACTCGAACGACGTCACAGAGCATCAGCAGCGCACAATCCACTGACCGCGAACTTCCCATGCACCATCTGCAGCAAAATGTGCACCTCTAGAATTGGCTTGTATAGCCATCAGAGGGCACACCATGAGACCAACAACTGATGATCTGCACAGATTTGTCATCATCGGATCGATGGACTACCAAGAGTATTCAGCAAAACAGGGTGCCCCCATTCCCTAGGAATCAAACTTGCTGCCTTCAATACAACACTCTTTGCCAAGGGAGCAAGAGCTCGCTTTCAGGAATCATACTAAGCAATCTGTGCTGCAATGCACAGCATCACTAGGCTAATAGACCTGTCCCCAGTAAGATACTTTTAATATTAACAAACTTGATTTACTGCTAGTTAAAAATAGACGGTAAAAATTGAGAGTTATTTTTAATAATGCTTCTCTCCTGAAAACTGCTTGTGGGAGCCCAAGTAGTTAGTGTGTTGTATCAAAGTGATTCTGTATCAAAGTGATTGTTACAAAGAATGAGATTATGTTTAAAGTGATGAGTGCCAGAATACTTCTGGTATGCCAGGGGTAACTTTATAAAGAGAATGAACTGTATTTTTCTAGGCAGGGCTGGTTGCACCATCTATTATTAAGGTTGCCTGACACTTTGCGGATGTGCCTTTTGGGGGAAAAAACTATGTGAATGTGTAATTAAAGACTGTATCATTATGCAGACACATCAGGAGGCCAAAGTAAGGTTGCACAGGCAGCCTTAATTTCAGCATTTCTTAACTTTTCCTAAGTTTTGGGCGCTAGAATTTGCAACCTTAATTTAAGTTCTTCTAATGTAATTTTGTTGTTGTGTGTAATAGATTCAATAAAGACAGAATGTAGGATTGTGTTAAAACAGTGAGCAGTGTTTTCAGGTTCTTTTTCTTTTAACTTGTAACACCTTTCAGCTTGACTGGCTTAGAAAATTGACAGACAAAATATATGTTATCTATACAATTGAACAAAGTAATAATATAGATGAGACATAAATTTCTTTCTTATCAATCTCCTGTCTGCAGCTGTTTAAATTCTATTGCTAGTGACATAGACACAGTGTAATATTTTGATAGAGATATTAATTGTGGTGCTTTTGTTCCTTTTCCAGGATTTTCTTTACATGCTGCTGGAGGACATCCCAGAACAAAAAGGGTATGTGAGAATCAGGTTAGAAAAGATAAAGAAGGGAGTAGAAATCAGCTCTAAATATGAGTTGTGCCAACCAGAGATATCAGTAGGGGGGTTCTAGTATTACACACACCCCTGACAGGAAAGGTAAGCATAAAGATATTTTAATAGTACTGTTAATACTGAGGATACATCACACTTATGTAGCACCTAAACATTAAATAATTAGGTGCCTGACTGTCTTATGCACCCTTGAACATTTTCCCCCAAGTGACTCACCCAAGGTTACATAAGGAAGTCTGTAGTAGAGCTTTGAATAACCCCTGTTCTGTACTTTAGCTACAAAATCACCCATCCCTAAAACCATACAACTGCCAGTGTCCAAATACTGGGTCAAATTTTTCTATCCTTATTCAAGTACAAGTATATCTTACTCCACGAGTAATCCCCATTGTCTCCTCCACGACTAATCCCCTTTGTCTCCAGTGGGACTTCTTGAGGAATGAGGTGCAGTTCAAAGTGTGTAAGGAGATCAGAATCTGGCTCATCGTTAGATAATGGAGAACAGCAGTTCAGCCTACAAGAAACAAAAAATTGATCTTGTGAAAAGTAAACAGAAGATGTTGCTTGGTATTTTAGACAGCAAAAGGAAAAAACAGAAATGGAAGAAATATTGTTGCCTATAGTTGATAAAGCCTATTGGCCAAGGTAGCTCTCTGAGATATTTGCACACATCCCACTGTTCTCAGTGAAAGTTGCATACATGTTTCTGAACATCAGTATCCCTTCATATGGTCCATTAATTTTTCCATTTATAAACTGTCATAACTGCTTGGTTCACTGTTTAATCAGAAGGTCTAGAAGTCTTCATTCTAATTTCTTGCACTCTTATTCTTGTATATTCAGCTGCTAAAAGTATCTGAGAAACTTCAGATTAAACCTGCTTCATGATGAGCAGTATGTTAGATCCAGTATCAAAATTACAAAGTCTCACAGGACTTTTATACCTTTTATACCTCATGATAGGGGGAGTAATAATTTAATAACTAATGTGTCTTTCCAACTGCCAACTCTCGACCATTGCTGAGAACACAAGTTAGAAATATTGCCAAGTTTTATCAAGTTTGATGTGTTTTCTTAAAAATGTTTACATTTCAACTAAGAAAAATGATATTACCAACCACCCTTTTTTTCCTTTTTGGTGTCATTGAATTTTATTTTCCATAGTCATAAACATGGAGGAGAGAAAATGATGTATTTTATTGTAAAAGGGTTAATTATTACATAAGGTCCTGTAAAATATTTGGGAGCTGGTTTGACCATAAACTGCTCTGTTTTTTGCAAAGTGGTCAAAATAAAATGTGTTTGAATCATTTTACTGATCACAGTTCTGCTGTGTATTGGAAATAAAGGGCCAGTACACTCTGCACGCTGGATGAGACATATGACTTTCTCCAGTCTGTTCCACCCCTACCATATTTTCATGGCCCAGGATCATTGGAGATAATAGAGTGAGGGAGATAAAGGGGATGTCTTCTGTTGACCACCAACAAACATTTGCATTAACATCTTGACAATTATCATATTTTCAGTTGAATGCAAGTCTACTACCAAAGAGGTATGTGTGGTAAATGTAGTGTAGGGGGATACGTGTTCTGAAATGTGGACATTTTGTAGATACTGGCATTTCAAAGGTTATGTAATTGCTTCACACCTTGGAGAGTCCAAGAAAAGATTATGGAAATGAAACTTTCAGTTTCTGCTATTCTTTCGTGTCCCAGGACTTGTGAGCTACTGAGCATCCTCATTTCCCATGTAAGTCAGGATGTTTTCAGTACCTTGTAAGGTGGGTTCCCCAAAAGCATTGTGAATGTGCTACTTTTCTGTAACCCAGGGGTTAAATATCAGCTATTTAAAAATTGTCTCTAATATTGGGAAGAACCAGATTATTTATTATGTGGCATCATGAGTTTAGTATATAGCAGAAAAAGATATGACATGATTCAATGGTGGGAAGTCAAAGCTTGACAAATTTAGACTGAAAATCAGGCATACATTTTAAACAGTGAGAATAATTAACCATTGGAAGATCTTACCAAAGGTCACAGTGGACTCTCCATCTCTGACTATTTTAAAAATAAGATTGGATGTGTTTCTAAATGATCTGCTCTAGCAATTATTTTGAGGGAGTTCTATGGACTATGCTATACAGGAGGTCAGACTAGATGATCACAGTGGTCTGGCTTTGGAATTTATGAATCTAGCCCAGACTCTTTTTTTTTTTTATCTTTCCAAAAATACCTCAGGAATAATACTTGTTTAAATAATGAGAAGTGGTTTTCTAGCTCAAAAATGGTCAGGAAAAATAAGAAGTCTAGTTAGGGAAGTTAGTTCATTTTAATGACAATATGCTCTTTTTTCCATTTCTCACTTTCCCAGTGCTTAGACTTGGTGCAAAGTGTTATTTGAACAAGGAAACCAATTTTTGATCTAGATATGTGCCAAGATATTTTCACTTTTAGTAAGATCACTGCAAATGAAGTGTGGCTCCAGTTGCTCTTGCATACCCCTGTGGAATGTAAAGGCAGATTTTCAGATTCATGGTAATCTATTTTGTAACCAGACATATGATATACCTGAATTTGTCTACTGCCAAAATCACACTGGGTGCAGAGATCAGTGGTAATGCCAAGAATAACAAAAGGTCATCTGTACATAGAGCAGGCTTTTATTCCTTGTGTGTTGTAATGATGCTTTTCTATTACTGGACATTCTCTGTTATGATTTGTATAGACCTTAATAACTTGGGTAAAAAAGCAAGAGCAGAAGAGGATTCGTTGTTCTTCCAAAATTAAATTTGTCTCAACATCTTCCATTGATGAATGTTTCATCACACATGATTTCCAGGATTGGAATGAAATGCATTTAAACATAAGAGCTAAATCTAAAAAGCCTCTTTGCACAAAAATGGCAGATCTACCCAACCCAATCAAATATCATTTTAATACTAAGAAAAGCCCACTAGTTGGATGGTATTAAACACCCACAGCTCCTAATGTTTGTGATGAAGTGGTGGCCCTTATAAAAATGCTTAATGGTATAAATTTAGGCCAACCTCCTGCCTTCACTTCTGCCCGTACTGTCGACAATAGTGTTGTATTGGTGTAACTGAGAACAGAATTTGATCTGTTGTAGATTTTGGCAATGAGAATTCCTGGATTATCATTGACTGAAAACAGTCATATGACAACATGGCAATTTTATATAGTTTATATGTTGGAATAATGCTAATTATTTTTCTGTTATTGGGTACATCAGGTGAGGTCTAAAGGACTCTTGCACCAAAGTTTGAGTTTCCCTCCAGTATAGGAGGGCTTTAATTTTTAGTCACAGATGATTTTTCAGTTGATACCTGTTGATCGGCAACTGCATGGAAGAGATTCTTCTCCATTCAGATGCAACCTCCCAAGTGACATCCCCATTGATTTTGTCTTCCTTTCAGACCTACAAGAGATCGTTTTAAGGGGTGTCTATACTTATGCATGCAGAGTACAGACTCTGCACACCCAGCTAGCATGGGTATAAATAGTGTAAGTGGTGATGCATGGCTTACGTGAGTAGAGTGCCCTACACATCTAAACCCCGAGGGTATGTACCCTACATGGCTTTCTACACACCCAAGCACATCTACACTGCTATTTTTAGCAGTGTAGTGTCCTGCTGCCTCCTCACTGCCAAAGCCTTTCCCTGCTGCAGTGAAAGGCTCCAGCAGTGAGAAAGTGCTTTGGCAGCTCCCCAGTGCTAGAGCCTTTCCCCACTGCCTGCCCCTTCCAGAGCCTTTCACTGCCACAGTGACAACTGTGGACACAGCCTGCCTTTCACTGCAGTGTGTAGCTACACATGTAGTGCCTGTAGTCTATACACTGCGGTAAGTGTAGACATAGCCTAAGTGCCTGGTTTAGAGGACTGCTTCACATTCTGCCTTGGCTCAGTTCTGAAGGGACCTTGGCTATTGAAAACTCTCCTCCAGGGCAATATCCTCTGATAGGAGGCGAGGACCAGATAGGGTAGAGGGCATTATATATTTGCAGGCTCCTTGGTCTGCCTCCTTTCTGCTAAGGAACTTTTTGTATGAAGGACTAAGGGCCAGAGCAACTAACAGATGTCTAAGGGTATGACTACATCAGTGGAAGAGGTTTTTCTGTTGATGCAGGTAATCCACCTCTCCAAGAGGAGGTAGCTAGGTCAATGGAAGAATCCTTGACCTAGCCATATCTACACTATGGGTAAGTTGACCTATGTACTGTGCTTAGGGCACAGAATTTTTCACAGCCCTCAGTGATGTAGCTAGGTTGATCTAAGTTTTAGATAAGACCAGGCCTTAATATCAGTGCCTGCCTCAGTCTGCCAAGTCTGCCCTCCTGAGCGTTCCTGTTTAGTGTGGACTGGTCTGTCCCAGAGGCTCAGGTTGTCTTGGCCTTCCCCCAGCAAACCTGAAATGTTTCTCACACATGATTGAAGTATCTTATTTTCTTCTGTTTGACTTCAAAATCCACTGCTATCATAAAAAACAAAACAAAACAAACCCAAACCTGCTTTCTCTTGTACCTGTGCATTATACTGCATTAAGTTTGATCATAACTCCCAGTAGCCTTGTTGCCCCCAGGACTCATGATCTTTAGCCTGTAAATTGATCCTATTCATATTTGTGCAACATGTGAGCCATGCAAAGTCCCAGTGTTTTTAAACCCCTGTTACAGAGGGTATGTTTCATCAGCTCCAGATAAATCAGAATTGCAGCTGCTTGAGCTCTGTGTGTCTAGTCTTCTTGAGTAATTAACTTCTATTACTTTTGGCTTTTTTTGATTTTTGTTATTTCATTTGCTTCCGCAAAACAAATATAAGATAAAAAGTAAAGCTACATTTTCCATAATATACTACAGACTAAGTATAGCTTGTAACTTTATTTGTAACTTTAATAACTATGACCTAGTAACCACCTTCCATGTCTTCATAAATTTCCA